GTATTTCTCCAACTCACCTCGCAGAGGTGACAGCAACCAGAAAGGCCGTCTTTCATGACAGGAATTTTAGATCGCAAGTTGCGAGTGGCTCAAAGGGTTTCCTCGTGAGCTGACGAAGAACTAGAGGAAGGTCCCAGAAAACGACAGGAGTTTTGATGGGAGGGTAAAGGTGCAACAGTCCCTTTAAAAAACGTTTTGAAAGCGGATGCGAGAACAGTGTGCATCCTTCAACTTGAACATGGTAGGCTGAAAGTGCAGTCAAATAAACTCTTAACGAGGAGTGAGAAAGTCCCGAGTCAGCGAGGGACAGGAGGAATTGGAAAACTTTCTCGAGACCCACGGAGGTGGCTCGAGGGGCATCGTCACCCAAGGAGGAACAGAACCTTTGCCATTTGTAATGGTAGGACTTTCGCGTAGTAGGCTTTCTGGCGTTTAGCAAAACGTTTGCTACGTGGGTGGAAAAGCTGTTGACGCTATTCTCCAGGCTGTCAACTTCATCCGTCGCACGTCATGGTACAGGAGAGTGGAGTCGGATAGGAAGAGGAGGTCCTGTGCAGGAGGAAATTGGTGGTAGATCCCTGCTGACAATTCGAGAACCATGGCTGCCTCGGCCACCACAGGGTTATTAGGATACAGTCTGCTCCATCGCTGATGATTTTGCGGACCACTCTCAGAAGCAGGGGTAGTGGAGGGAAAAGGTAGAGAAGTTCCCGGGACCACGGATAGAGGAGACCGTCCCCTAGAGACTGTGGGTCCCTGCCTTCTCGGCTGCAGAACAGAGGGCACTTTTTGTTGGCTCTGGTGGCAAAGACATCAACTTGGGGAACTCCCCACCTGCGGAAGAGTGGGAGGAGGTAGGTTGGGTTCATTTCCCACTCGTGGAGACGCAGTCCTGCTCGACTTAGATGGCCTGCCTGCACATTCATGTGCCCTGGGATGTGCGTGGCTACTAAGAAGACGTCGTGGGAGATGCATAGGTACCACAACTGGATGGCAAGGTTGCAAAGGCAAAGGCCCAAGTACCATGCCTTCCTTTTGAATCACTCTGGCTGCCTGAAGCTTGTCTTCTGGGAGATGCGTCAGGAGTTCAGAAAACCATTCCCACAGAGGGTATTGCTCCCTGCTCCTGCAGGTAATTAGTGGTTTTCACGCCCAACGCTCCCGTGGAGTAGAAGCGTCTCCCAAACGCGTCCAATTTCTTACTTTCCCTGTCAGAAGGTGCAGAGTGTGTTCGTTTAGACTTGGACGAGGATGTTACAACCATCGAGTTTGGCTGAGGGTGGGAGAATAAAAATTTGGCTCCGGTCTCCTGGACTCTATACATGTGGTCCAGGCGTCTTGTTGACACTGGGGCTGATGAAGGCTTCTCCCAAGGTGCTTTCGCAGCTTTTAAAAGGACCGTAGACATGGGCAGTGCTATGGTAGTGGAGGTATCCAGTTGCACGATATCGAAGACGGCATCTGTAACCTGTAGTTGTTGTTGAACGACTGAGAGACCTAGAGAATGGGCCATTCTTTTGACGAGGGCTGCATAGGAAGTGAGATTGTCGGATGGGGATATAGGTAGATCATCTGTGACAGCCTGGTTAGGAGACTTGTGGTCAGGGGAGGTGTGAGCCTCAGAGGCCTCCGTATCAGAATCCTCTTCTGGAGAATCAGAGGAGCCCTGATCTGGCATTTGGATTGGACTGACTTCCGTTTGACTTGTTAAAATCTTTGGTTGGACTTGGGGGTTGGAAGGACGACTGGGTTTTGGAATATGGTGGGAAGGGTTGTCGGCTGGAGCACGAGACAGAGATGTTGAAGGTCTAGATCTGTAGGGCGACCTTGTTCTGTGAGCAGAGTGGGTCGAGTAATGATCCCAGTCGGAATAGCCTGCCGGAGTCAACCACGGCATGGATGGTGGATAGCCCCTATAGAGATACCTCAGTTGGCGTTGATCCCAAGACAGAGGTAGTGGGGGGGGGGGAGAAAGTCTCGGGAGGATCGACTTCTGGATCGGGTACGTCTCGGGGACAAAGCATGCCCTTGACAGCGGTCCCTATAAACTTGGTCTTCCATATCGACAGGTTCAACAAGTAGACATGGAGGGTGATGCTGCGTGTTGCTAGAGGCATGTCGATTCTGACGTGTATTGATGTCGGGAGCCTCTGACACCGTCAATGTCGATGACGGGGAAGGAGAGGGAGAAGGCTCTGCATCCATAGGACGACTAAGGAGCTCCACAGTTTCGATATCGGAGTAAGGACGCTCCAGTTGTTGTATAGGGGAGTCCAGGAGGTGAACGGTTGGTATTGGTGGAGCAGGATGAGCCTCCAATGCCGATACTACCATTGGAGCAGGAGGCACTTTAGGGGCATCACCCAGTGCAGACACCGCTAACTTCCCCTTCTTTGCCGCCTTTAGGGACTTAGAGGAGCCCTTTTTTGCGGACTTAAGCTCCTTACTTGATGACTTGGACTTCTTCTTCACTGGCGTGGAAGTGGAGGATTGCACCTTTGATGCTGGTGGCTTCGATGTTGGTTGGGCTATGTCGGAGGCGGGCCTCGATGCCGGAGCCGTCGATGTCGATGGTCTCTCAGACTCCATTACTGAGGGAGGATGTAACGCCGACTCAAGAAGCGCCACTTTAAGGCGCGCAGCTTGGTTTTTTCATGTCTGGTTTGGAAACCTAGCACAGTGCCGACAAGACGTAGGTCTGTGAGACTCCCCCAAACAAAAAATACAGAGGGTGTGGCGGTCAGGTGGAGCTAGTTTATTGCCACAACCCCTGCATCGGTTGAAACAGCCCCACTTCTTCTCCATAAAAAATAGAACAGGGAGAAGAAAAGAGGGCGGCGGGGGGAGGGGGGAGCCCGAAGGCCAAACTGAGGTAAACCGGCAACTTTCCCCTCAACAAAAACAAGTTTGTTTGTTTGTTTTATTTTTTGAAGGACAAACAAAGAAAGGCTAAGAAAAAAGAAGAAAACTGAGGAAAAAATCCGAAGAGCCGTGAGGCAAATAGCCAAAAAAGAGAACCGATTGGACTGACGAAGAAAAGGTCTTTCCAACGCGGCGGTAAGAAAGGAACTGGCGGGATGTCTGCGCCCACCCCTCTGGGCATGCGCGGTGGGGTTCCTGCGCATGCCCGAGGTCTGGGCGCGAAAATCTGCTAAAAAGTTTGCTACAATGCCGATCGATCCAGCGTGTGCGCACTAGATCCCATGGGTGTGAAGCACAGAGACCACGTTGAAGATCTTTGTGTATACCACAGTTCTGCACAGACAGTGATAGAATGGGGAAACGGGTGCAGGGTTTAGATTCCAAAGTTATTTAACTTTGCTTTTTAAAAGCCCCATACAAAGCCCACAGGTTTCTAGCCTTTGGGGCTGTCAAAACACTTGGGGGGGGGGGGATGTGGGCAATAACTTGAATAAACCTTTATGAGCCAAAAAGCGAGCTGAATAAGATTTTCATCGATGGGGAAGTACACCAGTGTCTTTACCTCACACATGACTAGCAAAACTGGAGTGGTTACATCAGCCAAGAAGAAGCACTGTGCAAAAATAAGAAGTTCAGAGAGATTGCTCAATCCACCTTTATTATGTGAAATGCAGGGAAATCTAGGCAAGGGGGAGAAGAGAGGAAAATGTTAAATATATTGCCTGACCATGGGAATGTACAGACTGGAAATGGAGCAGCAAATGCAGCCCCACTGATGGACCTCCTGATGGCACCAGGTATTTTTGGCCACTGTGTGACAGAGTGTTGGACTGGATGGGCCATTGGCCTGATCCAACATTGGTTTCTCTTATGTTCTTAACTAGAGGTATCTTCTCGCCAGCTCCCAAAGGGAGAAGACCATTTGTTAGAGGGGAGAAGATGCTACTGTAACGGACTGCAGGCAATTCATTATAGTAGTGTCTTCTCCCTTGCCTTATGTTACATAATCCTCTCTTTTCCCCCTTGCCTAGACTGCATTTTACATTTTCCCAAGCCTCTGAAAAGGAAAAGATCAAAAACAGGCAGCATTTGGGTGGTTAAAGTTAAAAACAGGAGGCTGCCCTGCCTCGCCTTTTGTCATCGCAGATGGACGTACCCTTCACTGTCTAGTACATCCTTAATGCTAGCCTTGGTGATGATGGCATCGTCACATTTGAACCACTGGTCCTTGTGTTGCCGAATAAAGCTGGTATAGTGCCCGCTCTCCAGGGTTCCTTGGTGATTAACTACTGCAAACAAGGAATACCTGGAGAGAAGGAAAGCAGAGACACAGCTGTTAGGAAGAACACCACCACCACCGCCACTGCTACCTCTCTCAGTCTTTCCATTTAACAGCCCTCGGGTCTTCACAAACACGCATGGAAGAGCACGAGAGTGTCCCACATTCCCCATTCAGAGCCAGTTTGGTGTCGTGGTTAAGAGCGTGGACTCTAATCTGGGAGAACCGGGTTTGATTCCCCACTCCTCCACGTGCACCTGCTGATGTGACCTTGGGTCAGTCACAAGCTCTGGCACAGCTGTCCTTGAAAAAGAGCAGTTTGTGTCAGAGTTCTCTCAGCCCCACCCACCTCACAGGGTGTCTGTTGTGTGGAGGGGAAGGGAAAGGAGTTTGTAAGCTGCTCTGAGACTCCAAGTGTAGGGCGGGGTATAAATCCAATCTCCTCCTCCTCCTCCTCCTCCATTCAACACTGCAACCCAAACTAAAAAAAAAGACCCCGTTAAAAATAAGGCTAGACAATGACACAGCACCTTTAGAGATTTAGGCTGGGAATGCAACCCTCTGACTTCCCTTTGAAGCGAAAGCCACATCTTGGCCCTTCTGCAGCATGGGCTAGGCACAGGGAGAGAAATATCCACTTTGCTAGCAAAGGGATTGGATCCAACCTATTTTTCCACTGGAGGAAAGGGGAGGAGGGGGGTCCCTGCTGACCACCAAGAAGGTGACACTGGTGATTGTGGGACCTGCATAGGACGAAAGTAATGTAGCAACAGGGGCCAGGGTAAGGAGAACAGTGAGGCAAGATGGAGTGAGAAAGCAGGCTGGATCCAACCCAAAAAGACTGGTGAGCTCTGCACTCTTTTCATTTACTGTAGCCATCTCAGTGGCTCTGGGAAGGTCATGGCCACAGCAGCTGTGTAAAGCGGAAGAGATTTTTCGACAGTGGCCTCCAGCAGATGGATCCGAGCTCTGTCTCTGCGCCACTTGTAAAAGTTCACCAGCAGAGGGAGCTGCTGGCTTGCTATGCCTTGAGCTCGGTTACCAGTCATGCCGCTAGCAATGAGGTGCCACCGGCAGATGTCAGGTGACACAAGCAGCCAATGGGATTTCACCTGGACCTATAAATCTTCAAGGCTTTGGCTCTCCTGGTCAGCCTGACCAATTCCCTCCCCATGGGGGAGATGCAGCCTGCTCCCGGGGAAAAGCTATTTGCCTGCCTGCTTTTGTTTCCCCCCCTAGCCTGCCAACCCTGTTGAAAGCAACCTTCCACCTGCCCAATCAAACTTAGGCCTTGGAACCACCCCCCGGCTTGCAAGACGGGCTTCACTTTGTATAGTACATCATGGTCACCCTGCCCGCCCGCTTGTGAACAACAGCCGTTTGGGTTGTGTCTCTCCCTCTCTTGCTGCAATCCGCCCATTCGGATCTTTAAAAGCTAGGTGCTCCAGCACATGCAGCATTTGCTGCCACCTTCGCTAGCTTTAAGAGGACTGGATCAGGCATATTAAGGTTGGCGCTGGAGACCATGGCGATGGGTAGGTAAATGTTGGGAAAAGGTGGAGAAGGGAGCTGGTGGCCGGCAGTGGTGGAGAAAGAAATGAAGGAAGAAGAGAAGAGATTGGATTTATACCCCGCTCTTCACTACCCAAAGGTGTCTCAGAGTGCCTTACAAACTCCTTTCCCTTCCCCTCCCCACAACAGACACCCTGTGAGGTAGGTGGGGCTGAGAGAGCTCTTGATAGAAACTGCTCTTTTTCAAGAACAGCTATTATCAGAGCTACGGCTTGCCCAAGGCCATCCAGCCAGGTACAAGTGGAGGAGTGGGGAATCAAACCCGGTTCTCCCAGATTAGAGTCCGTGCACTTAACCACTACACCAAACTGGAATGAAAGGAGGAATGACAAGCAGCAAGAGGCAGTGGCTCCCAGGGAGTTATGATACACTGTGCTTCTCTTCCCACCTCCGGCCCCATACTTAGCTCTGGAAGATGTGGAATCATTCCAGTCCCGCTTTCAGTCCACCCACACCCTCAACGGGGAAAAACATAACGATGCAACTCTACTTACTTATTATCATTGTTTAGACTATCCGCTGGTTGCTGGTACTGTCCGTTCATCCGGCTCTCTTTACTACAACAAAATGAATAAGACACAAACTATTCAGTGGCCCTTGGAAGGCAAAAACGATGAGTCGTAAACAGCCTCTTAGTTTCTCCGGACTGAGTTTTATTTCAAAGGGTTTAATTTGTTAGTTGTTGTAGATTTCCCGGGCTGTATGGCCGTGGTCTTGGCATCGTAGGACCTGACGTTTTGCCAGCAGCTGTGACTGGCATCCTCAGAGGTATAACACAGAAAGGTGGAGTACTCTCTCTGTCAAGGTTTGTGTTTTCCAAAGAATTTAACAAAAAGCCAAACTCCTCAATAATGTTGACAAACAACACCAGATGAAGGACAACTAGATTACAGCCCAGTAGCAAACTAGAGAGCAGCAAGATTTTCAGGGTATAAACTTTTGAGAGTCAAAGCTCCCTTTGTCAGGCCAAGAAGATTTTCAGGGTACGAGCTTTCACGAGCCAAGGCTTTCTTCCGTATCTTGACTAAAGGAGCTTTGATGCTCACAAGCTTATATCCCGAAAACCGTGTTGGTATCTAAGGTGCGACAGGACTCAAACCTGGCTCTTCTACTGCAGACCAACAATACTACCTTCTGAAATTAACTTCAGTTGCAGAAGATGTGACTTAAAAAGTTTTAAAATATTCTTTAAAAGGACTTTTTCTCCAGTCAGCCTACAGGTTTCACATACGTGAGGGAGTCTAGGATTCTTCACACAGGATCCTAGCAACACCTAAACTCCCACCCAGCATCAAGGGCGGCTCTCCAAAACTATTTGGCATAACAACAAAAGGCTGGACAGGTGAGCAAAAGGCACTCCATAGAAATAATGGTCCTGGAAATGTCCACCTGCAGGTGAGTCTCCCAATGCGACAGGTGTACAGAGCAAGTGCTTGGAAAACTCACACCTGTTGGCTTACCACCTGGGCACCTCCCTCAAGCTGGACATTGAGCTATAAGATCAAGGCAAAACATACACGTGTGCGCAGATCTTGATTTTGCAAGAATACCCCAGGATTATGCAACACTGCAAAACATTGTTACTGTTTACAGGGTAAAGATGCTAAAAAGTTGGCTTAATGTACCCCATCTAGGAATCCAGTTTTCCTTTCTCTGTTCTAATTGCACGTACACACACAAGTCGCTTTTTCTGCTGTCACCGCATGGTGAATGAAACAAAGAAAGCAAAAAGTCCCCTCCTGGAGTACAGGCACACAGAACTGCATTTCAGCAGCTTCTGCTGCCTCCCTGGACCTCCTCATAGGCTGCCCCTTGCTGCCCAGGCGGCATCGAGAACCAAGGCCCCTTTTAGCTGCTGTGCATGCCCATATAGCTTCAGCACGTAAATACAGTGGTCACTTTGAACCCCCCCCCCCAATTTCCAAAATTCTGAGACAAAAGGAGGTATTTTAAAATTATATTATGGGTGCAGGGGAAATGGACTGCAAGCTTTGACGCCCACTAGCTCAGTTTCCATTTCTGTAGCTTGTAAATTTAACAGATTATTTATTTATCTGTTTGATTTATATACCGCCCTCCCCTCAATTTGGGAGTCAGGGCATTTAACAACACAATAAATACGATTCCAATAAATACAAAAGCAGCGATATCAAACTAGTCAGGTGGTGCTGAATATTCCATATCCTTCTCTGGAGGGGAGGAGACAGGGAGGCCAGGCGGAACATCTCTGTGTTACAGGCCCTGCGGAACTGCACTCGGTCCCACAGGGCCCGGATGTCATTAGGCAGAGTTTCACCAGGCCAGGGCCAGGGCCAAAAAGGGCCCGGCTCTGGTCGAGGACAGCCGGATATCTTTTGGGCCAGGGATCATCAGGAGGTTCTTATCTCCAGAGCATAATGCCCTTCAGGGGGTATATAGGTATGCTGTCATGGGCCAGCACACCTTCAGGACCGCCTCTCCCCATATGAACCCCGTAAAGCACTGAGGTCTACTAATTAACATCTTTTAGTAGTCCCTGGCCCCTACCTGGTGGAACATGCTCCCCACTGAGATCAGGGCCCTGTGGGATCTTATTCAATTCCACAGGGCCTGCAAGACAGAGCTGTTCCGCCAGGCCCTTTGGCTGACGCAGCGGGCACCCACACATGCCCCCCCTGAGGTTGCTGTCACCCACCCACCAATAACCGGCCATATCCATCTGCATCAATGGGCCAGAAACTCTCAACGGTAAGCTAGAACTACTAATTTTAAATGTTTATATCGTGGTTTAAATTTCATTGTATTTACTGAAATATGATGTAACCCGCCCTGAGCCCGCTCACGGGATGGGCGGGATATAAATACAATAAATAAATAAATATTATATATTATATTTATATGGTTGGAACCCACCCTGAGCCTGCTTGTGGGGAGTGCGGGATATAAGTCCAAATAAATAAACAAAATATAGGGGGAGGTGGTCCCGTGGATACTCTTCCTGCGATGTGGCCAGAGTAAATCGCTACCAAGACAGATTCTCTGCTACCAAGACAGATTCTCTGCGCTAAATTTCTGATTGAGTTTTATGATGAACGGAATTATCAAGCACTTTAAGGACAGGGACACCATCTAACCAATGTGCCAACTTATATCTGTGTTTGTTTGAGAAATGATTCACGAAACATTAAAACCAAGTCCCCCTCTTTCCCTAGCTTCACATCTCTTCCGACTGTTGAAATCTGAAAAATGATCAGAGGCTGAAAGACAAATATGGTTCAAAAGGCTCTCGGGTACTCCTATGTCATTCAGGACTTTCCCCCCACTGCCTGGAAATGATATATGCTGTAAACCATGTTTTGTCCGGTTTATATTTGTTCAGAATTCTGCTGTTGTGATGGGTAGCAAAAACTTGAAGGAAGACTGCCAATGTATTGGCTCCGCCTTTTCCAGAAGTCCTGTCCCCTAACCCAATCACACTGTTACCCTATATTTGATTCTTTGTTAAGGAATCATGGCCCTAGGTGTTAAGACTGTCCATGACATATTTTGTTAACAACTTACAACAAAAAAGCCCTTTTATGTACATCTCAAAATTGAAAGGAAGAGAAAATTAATCCAATACTTCCTTGAAAAGAAGACTTTAATTGCATTAGCCTTCTTTATACTATTAGGCCCCTCTTCCTCTCACTCGTTAAGAATATTTTACATTTTTGAGCACAGCAAACTGGATTACTCTCAAAGGTTGCTGAAAACGATTATCCAGACAATGTTTGAAAGCTTTTAAAAATTAATACATAACCCTTGCCACTGAAAACTTCCATCTTCCAAAGAGTAAGGGAAACCTGAATACTGGTATGAACTCATTCTTAAATACCCATACACAGATCGTTTTAAGGCACAAGACATCAAACTACTTTGGGAGGAAATGACTTATTGCAGTGAAAGTGCTCAGTAGCATTGCTACTCAAAAAAATATTCATTTTGACCCCACTGTAGGCGTTAGCTGTGACCAAAGGGGTTTCAAACTTTCACTTCCTATGGCCTAATACAAGTGTATTTTGGCATGTCTACATGTGAGCCCGAGCTTTTATGAAAGGGAGATTATTTTTTATGCTTGCTACAGTCAGCTAATTCTGCTTCATAAAAAGAGTGTCTCCACAGGAGGTCGCAGACCATATGGACAGCTCTCCAATGAGGTAAGTTTGTTTGCGATTCCTCCTCTGGGCAAACAAAGCCTTCCAAGCGTATCTCGGTACATTAGCATTACGACAAACCAGGAGTTCTCAAAGTACAAATTTCAGTTGTTCATATATGTTTAAACTGCTTGACTGAAAGTTGTGTCTTGAGAGTGGGGCAGCTCCAGTCTTCTAATCACTCTTGCTGTGAGAACACTCTTGCTTAACCAAAGCCCTGAAACTGGTTTGGTTTAGCTACCGTGAAGAAGAAAAAATAAACACTTTCACGCAAACAAAACCAGCTGCCAGATCATTTTGAAACTGGTTTCCTTCCAGAAAGCTCAATTTAGTCATTTCTTGTTCTCCAGATGCAGCTGAAAGCCTGCCTGGCACCAGACTGGTTTCTTGGGAGAACCGAGGCCCTGTTGCACGTACCTGGAGGCCATAAAAGGCGTCATGTCCAGCTCCAGTGGAAAGGAGACGTACGTAGTGATCTTTCGCCTCAGTTTGGCTGAGTGTTCAAACCGCTGAAGAAGAGAGAGCAAGAAGATCTCAGAGGGAAATGTCATGGTTTCCTCGCTACACAAGCCCATGCACCCACGTTTCATTGGTTGACTCAGGTGGGATGGGAGGACATTAAACTTCTCAAACAACAAGACTAACAGTGTAATCCCTTCCCAGAGCTAGTCCAACCTTTACCCACTGAAATGAATGGCCTTTGCCCGGAGTAACTTCGTGAGGGATTGCGCTGTAGGTTACTGGAAGAAATTAGGCAGGCTCAGGTTCGGGACGCTTCACACAAACATGGCTCGTTTCAGATGGTCAACAACAAGCTTCCTCATCTTTTGATTTTCTGCGCATTATCAACAATTATTTGCTGAGATGTTTGGGATTACAAACTACAGTTAGCGGTTGCCTCCCAAGCCATGGCTTGAAATTTCTGATTCTGGTTTGGAGGGAAAGAGCAAACTGCAGTTTGTTTGCCTTGGATGCCATGATAAACTGTGGCTAATTCTCATCCGGAAACTGACAGGGAAGCGAAAGAGGGGGGGATGCAAACCGTGGCTAGTTGCTGAGTCACCAGACCATGGTTTGCAGGATCATCTGAACTGAGTCAATCTGCATGGGTGTGAAAAGCACTCTTGGGGGGGGGGGATGGTGACAGTAGGGCGTACAAAAATGCGAAGGTCTCGGCTGAGGGATTCAAGACTGAGTCACTAGATTAGTAGGGCAGAACTATACTGCATTTACTTAGGATATCCCACCTTTCTACCACACTCAAGGCAGCTAACAAGGTTAAGAGAGAGAAAATAAAAATGTTAAAGGTATTTAAAAAAAACACACCCTCGAACCACTGAAACAACAGAAACCAGAATGACGAAAGAAGACTAAAATCACTCTGAGCGGATCTGCATCTTAGAAGCTCAGTCATCAGACTGTAAAGTATCAGGTCTGTAAAGTACCTGAATGGGCAAAATGCCTTGTCGCTCAAATTTCATTTTTTATTTTTATTTATTTATTTGTTAGACTTTTACCCCGCCCCCCCCAACACAAGTCAGAGATAAGGAATGCTTGGTGTGGAGCAAATGTCTATTTCATTCTAGATACCCCAAGAAGTCAGTAAGAGAGCACTGCCCTCTTCATATGCCTCTCCAAAACAGCCACCAGCTCCGCCATTCACACATCCTTCTGTTAGGAACGCCAATATGTGTCTGGAGAATTGAGCCCTGCCCCTAGTGTTTGGCAGAGCTTTGCTTTTAAATCCAGGGCACCAAGGGCCACATCTAACACTCCACCCACCACATTCATGCTGTTTTATAATAAGGGTTCCCCCCCAATTCCATCTGCATCAGTTAAGGCAAAAAGCACAAAACAGACAAGAGGATAATCTGTACTCTGCACAGAAATGCCACATCCTGATAAAGGAACACACCGAAAGGAAAGAGGGCAGGAAGAGACGGGAAAAGATTAATTTCCGAGACAACGGGGAGCGTGGCAAACGTCACACTTTCATCCTCATTCTCTTGAAAGGGAGCGAAAAGCAAGCAAACAAAAAGAAGAAAGAGAAAAGAGATGAGTGGCGTGCTCCTTAAAGAGAGGGCACTTCTTTCCATTTCTCAGAACTCCTGTCCTATTTACACTCACAGTTAATTATCTCTTGGTTTACGACATCATAACAACCCCGGCAACAGATCTTCCTGCCAAAGAAAAGGGAA